ATAGGGTTTCCAAGGAGCAGCTGATGGATTTGAACCACTGACTTTGTTGTTAACAGTCCAGTACTGATCCTACAGTGCAACACCAGGACCCAGAAGCACTCATTAATCTGAGCCTAGAAATTTGGAAGACAGTTATCTGGCCAAGTGACGGGAAGAGATCCACATTTGTGTCCATTCCAAAGAAAGGTGACCCAGTGGAATGCTGAAATCATGAAAGAAGATCATTAATATTACACCCCAGTAAAAATCTGCTGAAGATAATTCAAAAACAACTGCAGCAGTACAACATGGAGCTGACAAAAAATTCAAGCTGGATTAAGAAGAGGATGTGGAATAAGAGATACCATTGCTGACAGCAGACGAATCTTGGCTGAAGGCAGAGAATACCACGAAGACGTTTAACTAATAATTCAAAAACAGCTGTAGCAGTACATCAACAGGGAGCTGCCAAAAACTCAAGCTGGAATGAGAAAAGGATGTGGAATGAGGGATATCATTGGAGGCATCAGATGGATCTTGGCTGAAAGCAGAGGATACCAACAAGATGCTTACAGTGTTTTATTGATTATGCAAAGGCATTTGACTGTGTGGATAAAAATAAACTATTCATAACACTGTGAACTGGAATTCCAAAGCACTTAATTGTGCTCACATGGAACAGAACAAGGGAATACTGCAGGATTTAATCAAGAAAGATATGTATCAGAGTTGTATTCTGTCACCACACTTATTCAATTTATATGCTGAGCAAATAATCTAAGAAGCTGGACTAAATGTAGATTGTGGCATCAGGATTGGAGGAAGGCTCATTAACAACTTGTGATATGCAGATGACACAACCTTGCTTGGTAAAAGTAAAGGAAACTTAAACCACTTGTTGATGACAATAAAAGAATACAGCCTTCAGTATGGATTACAATTCATAGAAAACAAAAAAACCTTCATAACTGAACATCATGATAAATGGATAAAGCACTGAAAACAACAAAGAAATAAAACTTCATTTTTCTTGAATCCACAATCAACACTCTTGGAAGCAGCAGTCAAGAAATCAAACAACATATTGCATTGGTAAAATCAGCTGCTTAACTACTTTTTTTTCCCCCTTCAGTGTTTAAGTTGTATTTTTTTCTTCAAGTTTTTATTGTGAATTGTGTGATAGTTTACATGAGAGAACATCAGCTTTACATTCATTCTATCATATTTCATTTCACTGCAATGATTACAATCCCCTCCATGCATCATCATTCACAGCATTTGCTTCTATTCTCTCTGGTTTTCTTTTTTGGATGTACACCGATGCACTCAGGAATACATAACCATTCAAACAACCAAAGGGTATACCCTGCG